ATCATCATCAGCCTATTAATATCCCCACTGCTGGGGCACAGGCCTTCCCAGTGGATGGAATAGGGAGATTGGGCCATGAGCCACCACGCGGGCCCAGTGCGGATTGGTGGGTGCTAACGACTGCAGATGCAGCCGGGACCAACGGCTTAACGTGCCTTCCAAAGCACGGAGGAGCTCGAGATAGTAATTTTTGGTCACCCATCACTTTAGTTACTATGTTCCATGTTCGTTCAAAATTAAATCTCAAACGATAAAATTCATATCCAGTAAATAAAAAGCTCCTGTGCTCGAGCTCACATATTGTTTATTCTACGGGACAGAACAAAATGCCGGGAAAAGCGTTTTATGCGAATGAACCTCCTTGGGATAAACATTCTAGGCCAGTCATTAAAGCCGGAAATAATTAGTAACTTGCTGAAAATTTGAGGGTTTTCGAAAAAAGGTAAAAAAACCGACCGGGTGATTTTGTAGCGTTCTGGGGTATACCGAAAGGGTTGAAAAGGGGTGAAAAGTGTTTTTTGTTAATAAAGTTGCCAAAATAATTAGTAACGCGCTGCAAATTTAGAATAAGGTTGTTTTTAGCGTTTTCTAACGTGTATTAAATTTGCAGCGTTTTGCAATATACGGGACATTGTTTATTATTTAAAATAACAATGAAATTTGTTAATAACAAGGGCAAAAAAAAATAGTAACACGCTGCAAATTTGGAATTAAGTTGTTGTTATCAATTTGTAACATCTATTAAATTTGCAGCGGTTTGCTTTACGGAACATGTTCCGTATGTTGCAATTTTATTAACAAAAACACTTTTCACCCCTTTTCAACCCTTTCCGTATACCCCAGAACGCTGCAAAATCACCCGGTAAGTTTTTTTACCTTCTCTCGAAAACCCTCAAATTTTCAGCAAGTTACTAATTATTTCCGGGTTTAAGACTTTAATGACTGGTCTATTCATGGAACCACAGAACACATTAAGAGGTTACAAGGGCCATGAAGGGTGGGGCTAGCGCGCCACAGTTATGTGTCAGCGAATGCTATGCTCATATCTTGACCAAAACTTGGTTCTGATTGCGTCGTTTCTCACACCCGGGAGCGCTGATAGGTTGGATGATTGATGTCGCGTCGTTTGATTGGCTATTATCCATTAGGTGGAAGTTTCCCGTACAAACGGTTGATTATCACCCTTCTAACCTCTTTTTGTGTTCTGTGCGTGGAACTTACCTATATTCCGTGCGAAATTCAAGAAAATGTTAACTAAAATTTTTTTAAACTAGCAAACCCGGCGAACACCGTTTCGCCACCGGATGGCTTCGTTTTATGTAACATTTCGTTTGGTGATTAAAAGATTTTTTTTTTTAATTTTTCCTGAATTTTCTTTGCTATAAACCTCACGGAGCCCGAGACCTTTCCAACCAATGTAAAACCGTGGAAATCGGTTCGTGCGTTCTGGAGTTATAGCGTCAGGAAGGAAAACCCGACTTATTTTTATAAAGTAGATGAGAGTTTTAAGTTGTAGCCAGGCAGGAATCCTTTTAACTTATTTCCGCTTTTCTAATTGGGTATAGCAGTTGTCTTTAAAGCAAAAAGATGTGGTTTCGATTCCCGAATGATCCTAGTGGTAAGTATAATTTGCATTAAAGAAATGCTGTTTTAGACATTATTAAAATTTATACATTTGTTATAATTGAAAGCATAATTTATAATGAAATAAGATGTTTTAAACCTGTCTTTGCATTTAAATAAACGTAAATATGGATATACGAATAAACTTATGGCCTTCAAACACAATCGCAAGATGTTTCCGCCGGTATGACTTGATTCGGGTCATGCGTCAAGGGTTGCCAGTCACATCTTTAAAATAAGTCGTAACAGTAAGATTCTTGAATATAAATCCTATGAATTTTAGATTATCTGAAATGTTTTAATAATCATTTTTAGTTTTGCAATTTTGTATATAAATATACCTAGTTTTGTTTTGAGGATCATTACTAGGTCAGCAAATCAACTCAACAGTAGATCTAATAAGCTTTTTAATTAATATACTTTTTAGATGATCGAATTCGGTTCATTCGTTGCGATTTTATAACTCATTTAATGGTAGCCAATATTCACCGGCGGCCGAAACGTGTGACGTCATAGAGCTCGATCGTGGTTCACTCCGGTCGAACTTTAGTAGCGTCACGCGGCCAGCCGAAAATTCGTTTAGTAATTTGGTTATTACTACGTCAATATTTGTCGTAGAACAAAAATTGAAAATCGTTATGGATCCTCATTGAATATTCTTTTAGATAGTCAAATATATTTATTTTTGTGTGACTATTTTTTTGGTTGTTATTTCTTGAGAGTCTTTAAAACAACTTTAAATAAGTATTTTCCTTGTGTTTTTTTTCCGCCAGACGAAAAAAGAAAAAAAATTACAAACAGTTACCAATACAAAGAATTATCACCACTTTTGTATAAAACCGGTTCCAACGGAAGACCAGCGCCGATGGCAACATCAGCACTATGGTGAGTTGGGACCGATTTGAGACAAATTTTTATTGTTTTTGTTTTATTTTTTATATAAATATTGTTTTTATGCCTCAAATAAAGTTAATTTTATTTTCCCTTTTTTTCTTTTCTGATCGTTTTGTTTGATTGATTTTTATTTTATGTTATAGGAGGGGCATACGAGCAACGGCTCACGTGATGGTAAGTGATCACCGTCGCCCATGGGCAACACCAGGAGTATCACAAATGCGATGCCGGCCTTTAAGGAAGGAGTACGCTCTTTTTTTGAAGGTTTTTGGGTTGTATTGGTCCGGAAATACTGCTGGCGACAATAGATTCCACAGTTTTACTTAAGATTTCTTTCTTTATTTCGTTTGAAAAGTTACCCATACAAAACTTGACAACCCTGCACCCGCCCGTCAATGGGCGGATACGATTCACCAAACAGATGCATATAAATCCCTGTTTCAAGTGGTGCCTGCACTCGAGTACTTTTGCACACAATGAAATTATTGTAAACTACTTTTCTCCGTTATGTTCCGAACAGCGCCATCTACACTCGGAAATTAAACGACAAGAGCCCATACATATAATTCGGTGAAGTTTTTATAATTATAAATAAAAGTGTTTCGAAGGTAGCTCGACAAAATTAAATAAAAAATCAGCATTCCGACGATGCAGACCTAAAAAGGCTGCGAAACGTCAATAAATAAATAAAGTTTCGTGCATTAACCCGTTACAACAAGTTTTATTTAATGAATGATGTGCGTGGAAACAAATAGTGTTTATAATTTTTCAAGACATTTGCTCAAAAAATGCGTTTACTGAGGTTGTATACAAAGTCCGAAAGTTCAAAATTACGCGCCATACAAAGGAGCGTGCTGTCAAAATTTTACCGCACGCTCCCAAACATGGCACCGTGAGTATTTTTTACGTTTTTTTTAAATTCGGTCGAACCTCCTTGGAAGTGCTTTTAATCTATACTAAAAGAGACGAAAAATGTAGTTCTGATTTTTACCACACGCACGTGGCGCCATTTGGAAATGCACGCCATTTTGTTATAAGAAAAACTTTGCTTCATTACTTAAATTATATATACTTTTCGTACCACTTGCTCAAAAAAGTGACATTCTATGCCACAAAAAGCGAACATAACAATAGTAATTTTTAATCTGTTAAAAACAGGGAAAGAAAATTGTTCTGAATTTCATTCATCCCCTAGGGAGAATGTGATTTAAATTTGGAATACTTACCGAAATTTATACTGAACTACGTCTGTGTTTACACCATTGAGTTTGTATATAAAGCATTATACTTTTTTTTGAAAAAGGAATACGCATATCTCATATTTTTATTGTGCTAATTTTTTCGCAAATGGTACGAAAAGTAGAGTATTTTCTTCGGTGATAAAGATGTCTTAGTCTTGGGTGAACTTAACACCCTCGCTACGCTCGGGAGTAAACCTCGAGTCCTTCGTTTCGCTCGCGATTTAAATCGTCACCCGCGACAGAAGACACTGCTTTATTCCCTTGGTTAATAATCTACTATTTCTCGTATTGGTGTTGAAAAACGTTGTATGACATTAGTGCGGATTGGTTTTTACAAATTCGTGGTGACTATGGTAAGCCATTCTTCTACTCCTTTGTAATAACAAACCAACTTACCGCACTAATATCATAAACAAACTATTATCGACTGTTTTGTATTTTTCGATTTATATAGCTGTGCCCAAACTGTGTTCGAGAATAACACATAAATAAAGAAACACTTATGTATTATAACATGAAATCACAATAAAGTTTCAGCCTTCGCCGAGTTACCCTGACACACACACACACACATACACACACACACACACAAACACACACACACACTCACACACACACACACACACACACATATATAGTCATGTGACGCTCATAAAGCATTTCCCTTTCATTCGTTTCATAATGACATAATACTACTGAAATCATTCTGCCGCATTTTGCGGGGGGAATAATATGCACCCAAATGCAGTCCAACATACTTTTTCAAAAAGTTTTTTTTTTATAAATATTTCCAAACCACACCAATTAGCCTAGTCCTAAAGTAAGCACTGTAAGGCTTGTGTTATGGGATCTAGGGTAACGGACAGAATACATATACAGTACATATATAAGTATATTTATATAGAAATACATATTAAACATCCGTGACTGGAGTACAAATGCTCGTATTCATCACACAAACATCTGCCCCCACCGGGATTCGAACACGGGACCTGTCGAGTCGGCGACACCATGAAACCCGGCGTACAAACCACTCGGCCACGGAGGTCGTCAAATTACGATCAAGTCGTCAAATTGTAATTACGACACACACATAAATTATGACAAGCGCTGCATTGTCCTGTCTACATACACCTTCCTCTTCCCTATGGGCAATGACCCATAGGGAAGAGGAAGGGGCTCACTACTGATGGAGCACAGGACTTCCCTATTAAAGGGTTGATGTTGATGGTGAATACTCACCACCACCCATTCACACGTACAAATACACACACACACACACAAACATACACACTCTCGACATAAACACACACACACTCGATATAAACACACACACATAAATATACATAAGACTTTCGTATTTTTATTTTAAAACCATGTAAAAATTCAAAGATTTATTATTCTTTGATATATGTGCTTACATTTATAGTCCTTTTATAGTTATATAGTATTTATAAGTCCCTTTTTTTTTGTTTAATCATAAAGATCGATAAGCAAACTGTAATTTTAGGTATGGAGGAGCGGAGTCACCTGTCACAGGCTTTATTTGCTTAAAAGGTGGCTTCAATCATGAGTATATAATGTAACTAAAATAAATGTTAAAGAAAATAAAATTTATTATTATTAACTAGCAAACCTGTGAACCAAATGTTCAACAAAAAAAAAAAAAAAAAAGTGAGTGTGACTTCTCGAAAACCGGAAGTGCTACGTTACTCACATCCGGTTTGTAGTCTTATCAGACTATTCTCAACTTATAACTTAAACATTCTCTACATCTATCTCTTACGGTTTGGCCGCTGAAACAGCACCACGGACGGACGGACGGACTTGTCTAATAGATAAGAGATACTAATACAAAATATTCCTAGCGTGCTCATCTTAGTCCTCGCAAGATCTACAGATGTCCGTGATGGTGGGGTCTATGGTTTTGTAGTTACTTACGTAATTACTAATAATTAAGACCTTCATTATTATTATAAACAAAGGTTCTTTATAAGTCCCGCTGATGGAAGCGCCAACTCGACAGCCGCTTTGATGTGCCGGCGACCTACATATTGAGTAATTATCATTATCAGTTACGGCTACAGATGTGATTGAAAAGGCACGCGTAGGAGTTCTAAGAAACGGGCCACGTTGAAAACAGCAGCACTATTCTATAAGAATTACAACGTTGTAGCATTTTCGTTACCAATCTCCTATAATAAGCAGGCAACATTGACATTATAGCTATTAACGGGATTGTTACCATGTACCTTGTTTTTTTGAAGTTATAATTCTTTAGGCGCGTTATGAAAAAATGATGAGAGTGAAATTTTAAGATGCGCGCGCATCACTGCAACACAAAATTTTAACAGCATGAAGTTGGTCGCTTTAGCGACCAACTTCATGCGTTACATTTTGTGTTTACCACACATTAAGAAAATCTACCAACAAAATAGAAATAGAATCTCTATTTAGTGGGTGCTAACGACTGCATTGTGAAGGCCTATCAAAAGTATTTATTAATCTGGAACAACGGAACCAAAGCGCGATTCAGGAGACTACAGCGCCATCTCTTGACCATTGGTGTAGTAGAACAAAACCACATCTTTATTTTTTGTAATAAAGTAACAGTTATAGGTATTCATATTTATAATATATATCCACATGTTTCTAGTTTGTATATTCGGAATACGTGTTTGAGTTTCATACAAGTGCAAATCACATATGTTCTAATAAATTATATTCAGTAGCGATTTTAATTGAATATTTTGATTATTTATTTATTTTTTCAAATTAAAACTGAACTTTATTGACTGTGTCCTTTTCCAGACTTTTTATTAATTTATTGTAATTAATTATTTGCATGCAATTAAAAACTAATTTTAAACGATGCCAAAGAAGGATAACTTCTCACGCGCCTACATAAGTACACGCACCCATTTTTTTTTATGAGTCTTTAACCGATTCGGGTCCTAATCAATGGATTGAGTTCCGTAATCTACAAATCATCTCGACAGAACGCCACTACATACCAAGATTGGTCAGGGAAGCGATTGAAATAACCAAACACAAGAATTTCAATCGTGAGGATGGGTTTAAATTGTCAAGTGTCTGGAATCCAGTGGTTCGTATATATGCAAAAACCGCAAAAATAAAAAAAAAGGTAAATTTAAAAAATCAAATAACCCGACTGCTTAATTATACTTCAAATAAAAACTTAAAAGAAAAAAACAAGTCCAGTAGTCTATAATTCTGTTAATAAGGAACAAATCTACTTTAAAAGTCGGGTCCCATTTTAGATATTCAAGAATACATAGGGCTGCCATCTCTAAAATGTGGCAACCAGGATAAGAAGCGTGATAACCCCGGATTTTGAAGCCCAGAACCCGGACAGACCAATAAAAAAACAGCTAAAAATGTCACAAATCAACTTTTTTATGTTGATCTAGGCAAAAGAGCTAGCGGTCTACCTCATAATAAGTGGTCACTGCTGCCCATGGACACTTGCAGCACCTAGGGCCACTCATGCGTTGCCGTAAATTTTTAAATCCGGACTACAAATAAAACCCCGCCCGGACGCTCCCCGGACGCCCCGTAAACTAGGACAAATCCGGGGAAACCCGGACGGATGGCAGCCCTAAGAATACATAATATTTTTCAATAATTTTTCATAATATTTTTTTAATAATTATACTTACTGCTGCTGCGGTATATTTATTTACAACAACATTCTGCTACATCGTGAATGTGTACAAGAAAATGGTAATCAAAAAGAAATGGAAAAGAAGAAGTTGGTGGATGTTTTTGGGTGCCCATAGCAAACTAAGCGCGCGCCCAATGTGTAGACACGACGGCCATCACTCCGCCACAACCCCTTGATCTATTAATAAAAACTAACACCATACGGATCTTGCGTCAAATCGTGGACCATCGTTCCAATACCTACCAAGGTAAATAAAAACCCCTGCTCTACACGTTGGCCATAGGTATTGGCCATAACCATTCGCCACAATGTTGGCCAACGTACAGCAGGCATAAACGAAGCACGTAAGGCTTTTATGGCCATAGAAGTCCCCCCACGGGTGTGCTTTAGTCAGTAAGAGTCGGCTATACGGTTTTCATGATGGATTTCACACCCGCTTTCCCGCCTGGGAGGAAAAAGTCATGTATATATGTGTGTATATATGTGTATATATATGTGTGTGTACAATATATACATGTATATACATATAGATATTTCATTTACTAGCTATAAGAGAAAGAGAGAAAGAAAATTTGCGCGCGCACTGCATTCTTTTGCTTATACCCCCCACTCAACTCCCGTTCGCCTCGCCTAATCACACTGTTCGTAACGCGTAACGCGTTCGCCAGCTTACCCCCCAAGTCAAGCGTGCCTAAAGAAGCTTCACTTCAATAATGTATTAAACCCGAGTATAGTATACTTAGATTGATGTACCTCTCTACAAGAGCAGTTTTAAATGGTGAGGTGATTGCGCTGGCGCGGTAACTGCTTAAGCAGTGATTCATTAACGTAGATATCCTAAGCGATAATGTAATTAACGTTTAACCGCATAATTATTTAGAGACTATTGTTTACAGACCATCTTGGGATCAACCTACGCCAAATGTGACGTCACTGAGGCAACAAATTATATTTATTGTTGTGCGATACATCGATTTCTGTGTTGAATACAAATTGAATTTTATGAAAATGATTTAATTTAGTTTTGTTATAAAACGATTTAAAATTATCTTAACCGTGAGCCTATAATTTTCCCCATTACTGGAGCACAGACCTTCTTTATAATATCGGACGGTTCAAAAGAACTTTCAATTTGTGAACTTGAATAAAATATAATTTCATTTCATTTTATATGGATCAAATATTAATGTCCCCACTGCTGAGGTACATGGAGTACAAGAATTGGACCATGACGCACCACACGGGCCTAGTGCCGATCGGTAGGTGCTAACGACTGCTGATGCAACCGGGACCAACGGCTTAACGTGCCTTCCTAAGCACGGGGAAACTCGAGATATTTTTGGTCACCCATCCAATGAGCGACCACTGTGAAAGTTGCTTAACTTCAACGATCGTAACCGAACGCGCTAACCACTTGCGCCATCTAGCTCTTCGAGTAAATATTACAGTTTAATTAATTTATAATAATAATAAAGAAACAAATATAGTCAAATGTGACTTAGTATAAGTTGTTGTAATATTATTTTTAGTTTCACGACTTTTCATGATTCTGTTTAGTGTGCGTTGCAGAGGAGTTTAATACAAAGAACACTGAATGGTGCGAATTGATCTCTACAAAGTTTTATATTAGTTTAATACTAAGAAAGAATACTCGTTAGTCTCGATACCTTTCCGAGTTGATATGTCTACTGCGGCCATAATACAATACAACACCCATTTGACAACCTAATTCTTGCGGTGTTAACATCGTAAAATTTGTAAGGCACTTTTTACAAGTCATAAAATATCAATAAACCAGCGCCTCGATGCCATCAAATGAATGTGAACGGTACCACTGTATATGTAGATTAATCGCTTTAGCTAATATTTCCTAAAGTGTTTTTTGATGCTGCAATAAAACATAGACCGGTGCTCATATAAATGTATGTGAATCGCTTATTTTATCAAACGATTGGAAATATGGTGTAGATAATAGTAATATAAGTTATTTACGGGTTTGTTACCATATACCTTGTTTTTAGCGAGTTTCCGATATTTCGGCACTGTTGCAAGCGCCATGATCATGGATGGCGCTTGCAACAGTGCCGAAATATAAGGTACCTACATGGTAACGCGTTATAACAAACAGGAAATATATACAAGGTGCATGGTAACAATCCCGTAAATAACTTATATTACTATTATGGACAGATGGCGCTGCTAGCCATGTAAACATCGGCTGCGTACAAAAGTTTAATTTAAAAATACAAAAACAAGTGATTTCAATCAAGTAAAGTAATAATTATTTAAAAGTGAGCATAAATTGTACCGTTTATTGTTTGTGGAAGTTTTCATACGGTAACTTCGACATAAAAGTGAAAAAACTGCAACAGTGAAAATGTGTGATAAGTGCAAAGTTTGTACAGATAATAAACCAAAATAAACGAAAATAACTAATGCAAGCGTTAAAAGGATTCACACTTATGGGTGGATAACTTATTAGAATAGACATTGAAACAGTTTTGTGAAGTTAAAACATAAACGCTATTTGTGAAGAAGGTAGTTTAACTTCCAGTATCGGTTTCAAA